TCTGCCTATGTTAAGATGCTTCATCCATCTGTGTACCTCCTGTCCCTTCACATCCACCCGTTGGTGCAGGGCATTCTATAGGCATTTCTTCTTGCAGATAATAAGGATAGCCTATTTCGGTATGTTATGTTCCCCCTGAGGCTCTTCTCTGATACCCAGTACCATTCCAAATAAAATAGGAAAAGAAGAGGCCGAAGATGATGCCAGATCTCATAGGAGTAAGTCAAAAAGGTGCGCCGAGTGGGAAAATCGAAGGTGGGCGGGTCCACTTGGCCAAAAAGGCGAGGACTCCAAGGAGAACGACAGTTACGACACAAACTCAGGCAGACCAATCGATAGTGACATTATAGTGATGGCTGCAACGAATGGGAACAAGGTCGTATGGGACGGCGTTCGAGGCGAAGGTTGAATTGGTGTTAAAAAAAAGGGGGGGAAACTACGCGGGAGTCACAATAACGAGTTACAGTTGCACTATGGGCCAAGATACAGTTTCGAATTGCAGTTTGGGCAATGTATACAACCCAGCTTTCTGGCCAGGTAGGGTGCCTGAAGTGCAATTGCAAACTGTATCTTGCCCTGTATATAGTGCAATTATAACTCGTTTTTGTGACTCTACTGAAGTTACCCCCCAGAAAAAAGAATGGGAAAGTATGCGATGGCGTTTGAGGCGAAGGTTGGATTGGTATTCTTCCCCTATAATTAAAAAAAAAAGAAAAAGAAAAAGAAAAAGAGACACTGATGCAATTGACCTGTCACCTGCGTATCCAGCGGACCTCCTCTGGGGTGATACAGGTAAGGGTGTGATCTGTGTTCTTTCAGAAGCAGCTTAGCAGTACATCTTCATCCCCATCCTCATCCCCATCCTCATCCCCATCCCCATCCCCATCCCCATCGGGGCGGGTATTCTAGGGGTGGGCCCTTTTCCTTAGGTTACGACTAGGGTGTCCAGTGCATCACGTGGGATATTATGGCAGGCATTGGCAGTATCTCAGTCTTGCTTGCACGTGCGCATTCATTAATCCAACCCTTCCTCTCTGGAGCCTTAGAGAGATCTCTAGCAGTTCATAAAATTTTGTAAAACAAGTAGGCAAGGAAAGATTCTCCAATTTCTCCTTGCATGTACTGAACCTAGTAACCAGCTGACTTGTCTATCAGCTCAGCTTGTGCACTGTAAAGTAATGAAGAGGCCATCCCGATAATTAACCACCCCCACCCTGTGCTAAACAGGTGATGAGGAAGCGTAGCCGGGAGAGAAAAAGAGGAGCTGCCAAAACTTCATCGACTACATCGGGAAATGTTGTCTGCGATCCAATACTCATCGCCGACTCCCCCTTGGACGAAGAGATTCGCTCTCGAAACTTATTCTCTCTCTCTCTCTCTCTCTCTCTCTCTCTCTCTCTCTCTCTCTCTCTCTCTCTCTCTCTCTCTCTCTCTCTCTCTCTCCATACATTTATTTTGTGTGTGTGTGTGTGTGTGTGTGTGTGTGTGTGTGTGTGTGTGACACTGTGTGTGTGTGTGTGTGTGTGTGTGCGTATCAATCTGCGGAGCTCCTCTGCTCATGAGCCACGCGATTGCAGTTCAACAAGCCTGAACAAGGAAACTGGACTGCTCCGCATGGATGGACGGGTTAGTAGGTGGTCAACATCTGAGCATCTCTCTCTTCCTATCTGTCTTCCCCTGCTCTTGCCTGCGCTTGCCAGCCATGAATGTAGGTGAGCGAGCAAGCGAGCGAGAGAGAGAGAGAGAGAGTATCGAGGAGGGATCAATGGCCTGCTAGGTCAACGTTCTTTGGATCACCCTTTGTGAGGAGCTTGGGGCCTAAGACCCTGGAAAGAATGGCTCCAGTGGGAGCAGCGAGAAGAATAGCTAAGGTGGCGAGCACAAGCACTTTCTCACCGTTGGCTATTTCCATGGGATCGCCTTTGGCACGCGCTTGCTGTAGCGGTGTGGGGCCGATCGCTGCCTGAACTGTGGCTTTTGATACCCAAGCGCTGGCAATGAACATCCTCTCATTGAGGTTGAGATGGCCTACAGAGGTAACGAGAACTGTTGCCACCCAACGAGTTGCCCCCGCGACAAGCAAGACAACGAGTTCTTTCCAAAGCAAAGTACGGGTCACCATGCTAACATCTAATCTGGCTCCGATGACCCCAAAAAGTAGCGGCTGGGCAACATAGATCCAGACTCTGGCTATCTGAGTTTGCGTTCTGCCGGTCCTCCGCCGACCCCAACCCTGGGCGGGAGGGATGCCCATTACAAACGCAGCCATAGCTGCAGCTCCCGTATAGTGATGATGCTTGAAAGTGTAGTACGTGATGAATCCCATGCCAACCAACAGGACGGTCCTCTTGGTAGCGATGGATCGACCATCTATCTCGTCGTGGGCGACGGTTTTCTTCAGGCTGGCGACGTCTGTGTCGGGCTCCACGATGGTCCCTCGAGGTACCAAGAAGGTGATCAGTGCGCCAGCCAGCAGGCCGCCCAGCGTGCCCAGGATCAGTTCAGAGCACACATGTGCGACGCTCATTGAAGCTGCGCCGCCCTCGAACGTCGCTTCTTCAAATGCAGAGAAGCCCACGAGGGCCAGGACGTCGCACAAGGCGGCCACAGCAAGAACCAGCGACGGAATGCCGGCATCCACACCATAGCCCTTCTCGGCGAGCGGGAGCAAGATGGGCACCACGACGCCGGGCGACACAGCAGACACTACGAAGCCGGCCATGAAGGCCCACGTCCAGCTGAAGTTCAGCAACCAAGCCATGAGCGCCGCCGCAACACTCGCTTCCACCATAAGCGGCACAGTGGGGGACACCATGCACAGTTCCGGTATCTTGACCAGGGACTGGACATCGAGGCTTAACCCTGCACGCAACAAGATGATCACAAGCGCCAAATTTCGGATATGCCCTGTCAATTCTCGAGACAGGGTGTCTCCGGCGTGCACGCCGGGCACGTATCTCAGAATGAACCCTCCGGCGATGCTACCGAGGAGAGGGTGGATACCGAACACGCGATAGGTCATTTCGCCCGCCGCGTACGCCACCAGCAGCAGCGAGATGGTGGCAAAGACCTCACCATTGGGCTCAGCGCTCTCTCCTCCCACCAAATAGATGGTCCCCCACCACGACGCTATACACGCGATGACGAGGGAAATGCAGGTCACTTGTCGAACCTTCTTGGTCTTTGCACTCCCAATCCGGTGCCAATACCTCCGCCAACGACTCCCCTCGTCCGCCTTCTTGCCAGAACCACCGAGTAGTGGGTCCCCTTTTCCGCGGCCGCCTGATGGCCCTTGTTCGTGATGATCATCGTGGTCTCGCCCACTGGTCACCAGGTCGGTTTGAGACGTCGGCTCGACGTTCCAGTGATGCCAGCTGCTCTCGATGACCTCCTGTCCCTTGGGAGTGTTGGGACCCGTGCTCGGTGCGCTGTTGAGCGGAGACTCCGGATTGTGATGCGAGCTCAGCCAGTCGTGCGGATCCCTAGGGGCGACCTCTCGGCCCGCCGAAAGCCGCCCACTTGAGAACGACTGCGCCGTCCACCGACCAGATTCAAGGTCAAGGTCACCTGCTTCCCCTTTCCCTCCCCCTCCCCCTCCTGTCGCCTGTGACCCTGCCTTCACATCCGAGCCACCCCCACCCTTCCCCCCCGCAGCACCTGCCGCGCCTGCAGCGGCAGTGTTCGTGCTCAGCTTGCCCCCAGCGTCTACCGCGGACCCGACCGCCGCGGACTGCATGCGAAGGCTATCCAAGGGCGTCTCCGAGTTCCGCTTCACGGCCGTGCCTGCGGATTTCACAGAGGTAGAGTATGCGACATCCTTCGGCCGGCTGCCGCCGTCATTGTTCGTGGCAGCATGCTCTGCGGCGTTGCCGTTGGCCAGGTGAACGGTATCGCCCCCTTGCAATATCGCTGGGTGCCTCCAATTCCGCCTTCTGCGGTGGGGGTGATGGCCCAGTCTTCGGCCTGCATGCGAGCTGGCACCCATCGCGGCTCAACACACCGGTGCTGCTTCCCGAATTGTGCCCCCCCAAACACCCACTCCACTCCCTGCCTGACGTGTCCTCCCCAGTGTCGACAAGGGCGATGCGATGAACCACCAACGCCTCCGTCCTTCCTTCCTCACTTACATATACATCTGCTGATGATGTCTAGCAGGCGTTCAACAGCCTCAACGTATGAATGATGATCTCTAGTAGGCGCTCAGCACTAGCATGACAGTCAGATTACATAATTTATTGCAGTCATTCAATTGCACTCCCATCCCGCACGGGCCTACCGGTAGTACACGCCTTCGCAACTCCGCCCGCCGCCTCACACGGACCAGTGAAGGTGGTGGTCCCCACCTACCGGTAGTGGTATGCCTAGAGATCTCTCCTCCTCACTGTCCTCAGCAGCGTGTCGAGCACCTGCACGAAAGCGTCACGTCACTAGCTGACACCTAGGAGGCTAGTGGGAGCCACACTCAGACCCCAGGCAAAAGCGGACCAGGGCCGCTGTAGCTGGGGATGGAGAGGTTGTGAGGAGCGGCACGTTGACGTGAGCGGAGGAGATCCTCGACTTGTTGCGACAGAACTCAGAACTTCCCTCCCTGCTCTGCTGCTGCTCCCTCATAGCCCTCCTCAGTGCTCAGCAGCTTGCCTTGGATCGCGCCCCCGCAGAATCGATCTGCGCTTACGTTGCTTCCCACACGTTCGCACAACAAATGAGCGACGCTCGATCACACCGGGCCGTTCATCAAGCTGCGGGCCACGTGACGGTGACGATTCGCTGCGAGGTGTACAAAGTGCTACAAAGTGTACGGGCGAAGTGCGGGCCACGTGACACTTGGTCTGCTGTGACGATTGGCTGCCAGATAGATGCTCACGCTGCTGCCTTCTGCTGTGATTGAGTAACGAAACCTTTCCCCTCAAGTGCGGAGAAGTCGGTCGGTCCGTGAGAAGGCCGCAGCAGGACATCCGATCCCGGTATTGCACCTCACGCCTCGAGTATCACCTTCCTACATGCAGCTACTTTTTTTGTTGTCGGCATCATCTAACACCTCGCCGGTGAAGCTGTCCTGTCGCTGTGAATGCGAATCCCTCTTCTTACTCGCACGATTGGAGGACGCGCAGTGCTCGCACCGATACGTACGAATCCGGTTGGTCACTTCTTCAGCACGAAAATCAACGACGGTACTCGTCGCGATGAAGTGGGGTCCCGTGTATAGCAGAGCGAACAACGACTGCCGCCCCCCACCCGCCGTGAGAGAGGCGAGCAGAGGATGGAAACGGGCCGCCGGATTGTGTGCAGGATGGAAACGGGCCGCTTGAGGTGGCAAAATCTGGCTCACTCTGCAATCAGGACTCAGGACTGGGGCCCTCTCGTGCTGTCGTATACGGACAGCATCAATCAATCAATCAATCAATCAATCAATCAATCAATCAGTCAATCAATCAATCAACGAATGACAGCAGTGAGGGGCAGTTAAGCAAAAGGGCCGATGTCGCAGACAAACAACAAAAAGAGCAGGGGAGTGAGCAGGACATACATAGCCAACGTCGACCAATGATTGAGCACGAACCTCAAGCGGAAAGATATAGGACACAGAAGGACGACAAACTCTGGACAATGGACTATGTTGTTGTGGGCAGTGGGCACCAATCATGTGCTGGTTGAGGCGGAAGGAGAGAGGGAAATGTCACAGAAGGAGAGAGAGGTGGGAGGCCGGGCCAATGAAGGAGGAGTCCTGAGGTTCACGATACCATCCGGGGGGGTGGGGGGGGGGAAAGTGGGGGGGATCTAAATGTCACAGAAGGAGAGAAGGGCAGGAGGAAAAAGAGCGAAAGATCGTGATCCCTGAGGTTGGAATACCTTAGATCATCGAGTCAATGACGACGAGAGAAAGTCGGGGCTCGTTGCAAAGAGGGGGGTGGATGTAAGTGTCACAAAAGCGGGCAGGACGGAGGGACGGGAGAGCGATCCCTGGAGTCAAGAATAAATAAATAAATAAATATAAATATTCATATCAATCAATTAATCACGAAGAGAGCAAGGGTCGTGAACACTGAACAGGATGGAGATTTAGCGGTCTCATAGTGTACTAGGTACTAGGGAGTCAGTGAGTGAATGTCGATGGGCAGGCGTCTTCGGCCCCCTGACTTCAACAAAGACCGAGGAATTGACGTAGATATGATCATAACCCCGGCTCCCTTGTACACCGTTGATCACCAAGATCACTTGCACACCGTAGATCGCCAAGCTGTAGTAGTAGTAGTAGTAGTAGTAGTAGTAGTAGTCGGGGCATGACCCGCTGCCAATCTCATCGTCGCGGTGCGTCGAGACCCCCCACCGCTCAACGAAACCGTCGTCTCCGCTCGCTTGCACCTGGAAAAGTATGTCCTGCCGCTGCGCCTCGTGACGTGGCGCAGATGCCCCCTGCATAGAGACAGCAATGAAGCGCCAAGATGAGACGGAAGAGATCAGTTAGTATTTGTAAAGTAAGCTGCTGCTGCTGATCCTGGAGTAGCTGATGGTGATTTTTTGTTTTTTTGTTTTTTTTTTTAAGCTGATGCTGATCCTGGAGGCGCTGCCTCTGCTCTCTTTTCGGACGCGGCTCTTGCGCTCGCGGAGTCGAGGAGGCCCTGGTGCGGTGCTGTCACAGTGTCACTCCCTCCCGCGTGACATACCGCTCATCCACTTCCGCTTCTCCTCTTGGTTCGGTTCCAATCGCCCGCCGCACTACAGATGTAGTACACGCACGCGTCGACAGATCTCACCGTTCAATGAGGATGAGAATGAATGCGAGGGAACGACAGATCAATTAGAAATACCAATGAAATAATTTCGGAGGAGTATCAGCATTCAATTTGGGAGCAGATGTAGTGCACCTGCAAAATTGCTGAAATGCAGATGTAGTACACCGGTCGACAAAAAAAAAAAAAAAAAAAAAAAGGACACGCGTGGACAGATCTCACCGGTCAAGAGAGTGAGAATGCAAAGGAAGGAAAGAAAAACAATTAGAAGGAAAAAAGGCAAATCTAACCCAAGAGCCTAGCTCAGTTGGTACACCCATGAACTGTTGAAAACACAGACCCGTGTTCGAATCCAGATGATGGAACCCCTTGACGAGTGAAGTTGTAAAACCAACTATTTCTGAATTGGCTGGGGCCGGTCACCTTAATCATGATGATATCTCAAGGCCGTCGCCCTTTTTTTTTTTTTTATAAAAAAAAACAAAAAAAAAAAACAAAATCTGGAGAAGTATAGTAAGTACCACATGTACCACTCAGCCCCTGGGTAGTGGGACCAATATACCCAGGGGCCCAGGTCCCACTTACCCGAATGGCCAATTGCTGACCGCAGATTACATAGATCCTTTGTTGTTGTTGTTTTTTTTGGAAAAAAGCTCCATCTATTGGTGGGGAGCAGCATCGAGTGGAAATCGACGGTCGGAAATGAAGAATCAGCATAAGTGGGACTTGGCCCGGGCAAATTTGCTGCAATACCGTCTCTACGGTAGGTCCCACGGGGGGCCAAGTCCCACATGCAACCGTTGAACTAGCTCAAGGCAACGGTGTGACACGGCTTTTGCGACTTTAAAACTGAAAACAAAGGCAAAAAAGGAGAATGAAATGCTGGTGAAAGCTTTTTTTTTCCCCCCTTTTTCCCAAAAAAAAAGGAATAACCAAATGGTACTGAAATCTTTGTCCGTATTTTCCAAAAAGAAAAATGGATACAACAATCCTCAGTGAAAGGGTCCACATAGGAGGCAAGGTCGGAGGCAGGGACTCACTAGAACATGAAATGAACGTAGACAGTACTCCTGGCTTGGTGCATTCACAGAAACGAGTTTGGGGCTCCACAGCCAAACACAGCATGAACACTCTCTGTCAGACTGCCCTCCCACAGAAGGTCAGTCTGAGAGTGTCCTCCCACAGAAGGTCATGATGGCACAAGCACCTTTGAACCCATACCCCACCAATCCAAGTGGGGTATATCATCACGGTATATGTAGCTCAAGGGAAGATGGGCAGGGTAGGGGGCGTTGTATTCCGGCGAAGGGGTTGTTCAGCACCTTTCTCGAACCAAAAAACAAAAACGAAAGTCTTTGTATTTTATACACCTAAGAACAACCGCTGGATGTGCAGCTCCCCATGCATCTCAGACATCGCGTGGGGTCTCACACGTTGAGCTAGTTTCAACGGGCTCAAGGCTCAAGTCGCTCAATGGTGTAAGTGGGACTTGGCCCCCTTCGGCCCCAGGGCCAAGTCTCACTTACGGCGTTTAGTTGAGGTAGTTCAACGGTGTGACACATAATATGATAATAGTCCTTTTAACCGGTGTGACACATAATATGATAATAGTCCTTTTAAAAATTGCCAGAAATGGTTTTCTTCATTTTCTCGATTGCCAAAACAAAAGTATTCGTCTGACATGGTACGACAAAGATCGCCGACCTTTCCGCAGTAGAGGAGCCAATGGCTGCAAAACGGGGACGGACTTGCTCTGCAAGTTCAAACGTGAATGAACCTCCTGCTAGAACATGGGCAGATGCACCCGCCACATAGAGGGAGGATCAAAATACGTGTAAAACCAACCCGCCACATAGAGGGAGGATCAAAATACGTGTAAAACCAACCAACACCGCAAATGCATGAGTACGAGTGCATTCGGACCATAACATGGCCAGTACCGCATGAACGTGGACATGTCGTGGGAGAAGGGACATGCGGATGAAATTCTCCATGTCGTGTCGCTTGTGCGTAGATTCATGCCAAGATCTTGTGAGACGGAAAAAGCCTGCGCCAAATATATATATATACATATATATATATATATATATATATATATATATATATATATATATATATTTGGGGTTGCCAGGCCGAACGTACGGAGGCCTCTAAGATGATCCCCGAACGTTTGGGCGTTTGGGTCCCCGTACGGGGCCCGAAATTCAAGGGGTTCGGACCCCACAAAATAATATTTTGGCACCTAAATATTCTTTTTTTTTCTGAAATTTGTTTTGTGAGTTCTTTGTGATGTCAGGTATCTCCCACTTAATTTTAAAGCCATTCTGTCCATCCAAAAAAAGATAAAAAATCCTCAACTATGGTGGTGTCAAAACTTACTTGCCCACTCACTAATTTGTTCGTTCTCTCTTTTCAGTTTTTGTTTTTCCTTTATTTCGGGGCATGAAAAAAATTATTATTATTTCAAACTTTATTTGTAGATTCTCTATTATGTAAGATACACATACATCAATTTTCATAGCATTTGTCACAGCCAAAAAAAAGTGAAAAATCGCCAAAGATGGCGGTGTCAAAAACTTGCTCGCCCACTCAATACTTTCATTCTCATTTTATTTTTTCTAATTTTCATTATTATTATTTTTATTTTTAGTATTCATTTTTTATTTCAAATTTGGTAAAAGGGGAAACTGCTCCTGGGTCACACTTTTAGTTCAAAACGGCAAAAAAAACACTAAATGGCAATGTCCTCGTCGTCGAAGTTCAAAACGGCAAAAAAAACACTTAATGGCAACATCCTCGTCGTCCAAGTTCAAATCGGCAAAAAAAACATCACTTTTTTTTTTTT